AATTGTCCCAATAATTGTTTGTAAACTTTTGCTCTCTGGTCATTTTTTCAAAGTAGTCCTAATTACTTTCGGTAAAAGACTCGAAATAATCTGTTATAAACTTTCGCTTCTTCTTTTCGTTTTTGGAATTTGTTCAATTTGTGCTTTACTGTAGTCACTTTAGACCATGTGTAAATATATATCAATTTTGCTGAAAGTCTGTAGAAAGATTGTAAATAAAAAATAAAAACAAAAAGCACTTAGAGTTTAGATTAATCTTAGACAGTTTAAAATTATAAATGAAGAATCCCTCAGCTAATGAGCAGATTTCCAAAAAAAGAAGCTGTGTCGATAGATCTGGAGCATTTGCTCCTAAACAACCTCGATTATGTAAATTTCAGGTGTCTTTCAACTAATTGGTTATTCCATCAAGAGTCGCCCTTAATAACATTTTGAATGATGGAATGAAATATCAGGATAATAAACCTGAATGAAGCATAATGATAATGAAAAACAAACGATTTCATATGTGATTACCAGCAAAGTAAAATGTGTTTTTAGTATTACTTGGGTTGCAGCAATAGAGGGAGAACAGTATTTGATTGACACACTTAGTTATTCATATTAATAAAGGAGAGTACTTTCATTAGACAACAATCATGGTAATTTAGCTGAGAAATTCCGGGATATTTGACCGGCGAGTTTAATCCCAATCGTATTATGGATATATCAAAATTAATCGCTTGTCATTAAACCGATTCTCATTTTTATATTGTAAAGCTTATTTGAATGTATGGCCGGTAATACAATTTTATTTCCAACAATAGACACTAATGATGTTAATATAAAACCAATTAGGTTGTGGCGTAACACGGCCCCGGTTATTTGTTATTAGATGGATGCCTACCATAGCCGCTGATTTTATCTTTAAAGTAGACACGAAAAAGGCTCGTTTAGTCGGGTTCTTCATGGCAACTACCGTGGGCCCACACAAAACAATTTATGTGAATAGGATCTTAACTTCTTCGTAATAGTCACTACATAGCGGTTTGAAATGTTTTCAATGACAACTATCTAATTCAAACACATACACGAAGTTTTTTGTTCTGCTTAAAAAGAAAGCTAAATAGACCAAAAATTGGCTTATTCGACGTTTTCTGGTTTTCTCTAATTGTTGAATGAATATAGAAACTTCCAATGCAGTATGCTTCTGATTTCTTTAGATTGAGGGCAAACGTATATTTATCCGATTTAGCTGGAATTCTGGGATTGAATGAGGGATGCAACAGAGCCGAGCTTATTTTGAATTTACTTTAAGATTCTTGGGACTCTTCACTTTAAGCTAAACAACAAAATTTACTTCAAATTTTTGAAAATATCTAATAAGCAAATTAAAATGTTTTGCCTAAAAAAGTTTTAAAATGTCCTGGATCGGAATCTCAATTTCAATATAATAATTTTTTTAAATAGTCAGCGAATTTATCCAAAAATATTTGCACAGGCTTCGATCCACTATTAAAAAAGGGTTTCAGCTTACATTTCCTATCTCTAATTTTTTTTTTTTTTTAATCTCTATTTCATGTAAACGTGCTATTCTAATGCATCTGCTAGAATAGCAGGTACCCACTGTTAATATTTATGTGCACAAATTTGTTTATTTACGCATTCATCCGCAAAGTTTAAACAATATTATAAACGTGTGTTTAAGTCGTTGAAATATACACAAATTTGAACATTTTAATTTTAGAGAACTTGGAAGTTCTGGACATTCTCCAGATTTTTTAAGTTAAATAAGCGATTTGATAAATTACTAGAAATCTCTATAAGAAATTTAACCATTAAACGGCTGATTTGATAATTAATTAAATTGAACTCATTTCCATTGCAGATTTTGAAAAAATCGATGAAGTTAGGAAAACAACACATAGGAAATTCCTTCAGAGTGATGAGTGAACTAAAAGTTTCAGCAATTTCTTTCGAGTTTCGTCATTTTTTATTGCTTTAGATAGATAAAAGATTGGTGGTTTTAGCTCAAGTTTTTCCCAAGATTTAGATGACATTTGCGTTAAATTCGACAGCTTAGGAAATCAATTATTATCATATCASTTGTTAAATTCTGCCATTATTATATTATGTTTCTGCGCGCTTTGTGCAGGCTTTGGCAAATTCATATACTATTTCAGAAGCAAATTCTAGCTATCGAYTTTTCSTTTTCCTTTCGATTATAAATCGCCGTATTTTTTTGTTSAAATACAAAATTGTAGTGTAGTTTCGTTTTTGGATTTTTTGATTTATTTGCGCAAATTTTCCTAATGGAAATATCTAATAAGCATCATCAGTGATATTTTGTTAAATTGTCAGAATTCATGGAAAAAATGTCAAATTTACTTAAATGTTATTAAAAATTGGAAAACAGTTTCAGATCAAACTTATTTTTCATCTCTATTTCAGGTATGTAGGCGCTTTCAATTTTTCTTATTTATTATCAAGATGTGTGAATAAATTTGTTTATTTAGACTTCCAAGCTCAATTTAAATAATATAAATAACCTGTGATAAAGTGATCAGAAAATGTGTGTAAATTTATTTACTGTGATTGCATCATAGTAATGATGTAGATGTAAAAGGTAATGATGTAGATGAAAAACAACAGACATGCAATTATCAAGCGTGATGCCAATATTGAATTATTGTCTAAACTCTCACGTATGTGAATGTGTTTCGAGCATTTTTCATTGCTTTTTTGATGGTTTAGCTCAAGTTTTTCACAATTTTAAAATTTTTTGTCATGATTTTTTGAATTTATATGATTTGATTTAAAGGACATTTGCTTTAACTTAAAATACAAAAATAGTCTCATTGTCTGGCGAATTTCTTTTATTTGTGATTTTACTATTTATGCATGCTTCTAAAAATTTTTTTTCTATTTCAGAAAGAAACTTTAATTCAATTTATTGCAAAATGTTGGAGAAAATTGAGATTTCAATTTAAAGCCATCGATTTTTTATTGAAGAATCTTCCTTTTCTTCAACCTAATCAAAAATTGACTTATCTTTCTGTTAATATACAAAATTTTACTATGATTTTGTTTTGGGTGGCATTTGTGTTGATTTTCTGAAAATTTTCCATATCTCAAATATAATATTTGAGGAGAAGCAGATATTGAGAATAAGATAAAAGAATATTAAGATAAGAGAATATTTGAGAAGAAATATTCATCACTCAATTATTTCAATATTGGCTTAGCTGTTCGAAATTTTACAAAAATTTAACTTTACTTAGTAAATCGATGTCCACTTTGTTCCAGTTTCCATATTATATTTCTCATTTCATTTTCCATTGGAATACTTTAAGACATATGAAATCACTAAATTATTCAGTCGGGACTGGTAAAATCTTCAAGGGTAAAATATAAGAAATTACCTTGCAAATATCTCTGCGTAAAATGATTGAAGATGTTCAGAAACAGTGTTTGAAAAAATTAGACTCATTTGTCTTTTACACTGTTTAGCAATTCAACTGAGTCATTGTGAAGAAGAAAATTTGGCCATCGGCTTACCTATGGTTTAACAGAGCAACCGCACAAATCTTAAAAAATAGCATTTTCTCTTAATTTTGGAAAATTTCGATTACCTAAGCTCATTTGCGGCCAACAAGGCTACAATCAAACAAAGTTGAAATACGGCCCAATTAATAACCAGACGTTTCTTTACCTCGTGTAAGAATTTTGCAAAATTATATTATCAAATGAAAAGAATAAGAGAAAACTTGATAAAATCTTTACAAATTCGAGAGGAATTAGACGAAAGTCTTCAGACAAAACCGCACTTACGCTTTGAGAACAATAAAACAGTAAAAACAAAGAGCTGAAGGAAAATTACTAAAGGAAATGCAAGAAAAGAGTAGATGGCAAAATTTAAAAGCATGTGAGGACAGAGGTTCTTAGCAAATTGAATAAGGTTTCATCAAAGGTGTCGTACTTAAATAAAATCAGCTACTTGCCCAATGAAACATTTAACTTCTTAGCAGAGAGAGAGAAAAAAAATTAAATTCAATTTCTAAAGTATTTTGCCGATTGGGATTTGTCTCTGGGCTGGAATATTATATTTATTGGTTTACTATATTGACTGTTAATTAAGCTTCAAATTATTCTCTTTTCATGTTCTGATTTTATCAAAGGATTTTTGCTCAGTTATTCGAATGTGAGAAAAAAATATCAACAGTATAATCCTTTTGACATAATTTTTTGTGTGTTTTTCCTATTTAATATATTAGAAATTCATCATAAATTAGTCAGAGTCAACATTTTACATGATAATATTGCAGTTTGGTAAAGGGGAGATAACAGGTGTGAATTGTAGTTTCCAGAGCAAAATCCTGAAGAAACAAACTAAAATATACGAGAAAAAATGTTGTTTGGTGGGAAACCCAACGTCAACTGCTGCTTTTTTGAATTCAAATGCTATTGTATTATTTTGCTTCCAAAAGGTTATTTTACTAACTAGTTAAATTTTTTCTTGGTGTAAACGAATTTTCAATGAACCACCGAAAACAACTAGGGTTTTAATCTTAAAATATTATGGGTCCTTCTTCGGACCATGTGAAGTTAAGCCGTAAAATAAAGAGAACTGGCATTTAATTCAGTAGGTATGAATATACGCCATTGCATAAACTAGTAACTAGCAGCTCCACGTCTACATCGAAAGTAAAAAAGAAACAACCCAACCAATATGCGATTACAAAGAAATTGATGTTATTAAATTGATATCAATATCCTCTTAACCTTAATCGAGCAATTTATACAAGACCGTTTAATATATATTTAAAGCAATTAGGGAATGTTTACAAATAATTAACTCCCATAATAGTATTTTCATAACTTTGACTTCCATTATTTTAATCAAGTCGTAAGTCCGCCCATTGGGCGCATTGGAGCCGAGCACCAGGTAAACCGCCGCCCCCAACGCCGATTGGTTCAAATTGATTAAAAGTCAGGTAACACGATACCTGGTGAAACGAAGGTATACCAGTTGCTTACAGAAAGTAAGTGTAGACGTTTCGTTACGTACGCCGTGTAGTTTTTTGTGGCTAGTCCCAACTGTTTTAGTTTTGTTTTTGGTTTACCATTTCACCAGCGGCCCTGGGTGAGTGTCTCTAGTATTAAGTGATTCCGGTGTCGATTTGTGCTGATGGTGGGACGTGATTTACTAGTCACATAATTGGTTTTGTTAATGGGGACTCTACTATAATGAGCCAACCAACTTGGCTGCAACATCACCTGCAGGTCTGCTTAGGACAATGTTGAAATCTTCGGATTTATCATCTGTTCCATCAACCAACGCTTAATTCAAAATTTGCTCTGTATGTAAAAAACGCTTTTCCTGCTTTAAAGGCATATGATACCTAATATTAATCCGGAAACTAGTTGAAGTTCAATTCCTTCAGATTCATCAGAAACTGATGAACATCAGATAATTGTAATTAATGTGGTCACACAAATTGAATCATAGAACGACTAATAAGGAAAAATGTTTCATGTTGCTGCGTTGGTTTAAAAATAGTTTTCGTCTATGGATGGTGCTAGACCGGAAACTTTTCGAACTCACTCATCAAATCTCGCTACAGTTTTTCGAAAAACTGTTGTGAATTGGTTCTACAGTTTTATTTTGAGCCGCGTAAATCCAAAAATGGAAAGGTCGGATTTCACAACGTTAAAAGTCAGTGACAATAACAAAGGCACACCTTAGGCAATGGAATATTCAATAGCATCAAAATAGGCATAATCCGAAAGTGATGGTACTTGCAACGAAAAACTGAATACTTCATAAAAAAAATTTGAACTAAATACATTTTATTGGTTGTGTTCATAGTAATAATTGTATCGATTTTATATTTGAAATGATTTCATTAATACTGGCGTATATTACTTTACCAATATCCGCCGTAGTTTTATTGAAAACTAACAATAGTTTCTTCTTCAGGTGACTTCAACTACCTATTGACTTTTTTCTTTGATCTAAAGACGGTTTTGTAAATCTTAAACTGTATCTTTGGACTCTCGACGGATTAGTAACATTACGCTTGCAAAAGAGTTGAAAGAGCTCAAAAAATATGCGATATCGATCAAAATATACAATGGATTGAAACGAATGACTTACGAAAATCTGTTAGATATTACATGCACAACACGTTGACGCTTATTGAAATAATCCTAACATTATCGAAATCAGATTGCGAATTTTAAATCAGTATCAATATTATTAAACACAATAAGTGTTTTGGCTTAAAATGATTAAAAATAGTACAATATAATAGAGTTTGACTCAGTAAAAAAGGGAAAACAAACAGAAATCGCAAAAAATATTTTAAGACATTTTGTCGCTCTATGAGATTGATCACCACAATGTAATCGGTTTTAATAAGTCCAGAACAATCAGAAAACAAACCGGTGAAAGTTTAATAAGTATGTTTAAAATTATAGTAGGTATAGAATGCGAATTTCTTCAATTGGTAAAAATAGCTCAATATAATATTGCACTCAGTCAAACAAGGAAGAAGCACGGATAATTGCAACAGACACTTTTAGCCGTTATTCCGTTCTATGAAATTTTTGATGAACATGACCGGTTGAAATCCAAAATAATCAGAAAATAAACCGGTAGAATTTTTTCTGTTTCAAATTATAATAAACAGATTGAGAATTTTCAATTGGTATCAGTTTTGTTTCAATCCATAAGCGATTATCCATAAAATGCTTCAAAAAAAGCCCATTATAATAGAGCTGGGGCCTCAGTCAAAAAGAAAGAAGCATGAAAAATGCAAAAAGGATTTATAGGCGTTTTTCCGCTTTATGAAATTGATTGAGTAAACAGATTACGAATTTACGAATTTGCAGTAGGTATCAATTTTGTTTAAAATATTTAGGGATTTTCAATAAAATGCTTCTAAAACTGCAAAATAAATGCATTGTGGCTCAGTCAAGAGGAATCAAAATATGGAAAATTGTAAAAGAGTTTTTAGGCGAATTTACGTTAAATGAAATTGATCGCATAAATACAGCAGAGTTTCACGGCATGATGGGTGTTAATCCAAGTTAAAATGTGTAAAAAATCAGCAGCAACTTAGAATTCTATAACTTGTATAATAATTTTGGATTTATATTAAGTAAATTTCCAAATAAAAATAATTTGCAACGTAGAATCAGTTTTGTCTGATTTCCCAATTTCCCATTGTTTACTTAATTTACAGCAAGTAACTTGTATGAATTTATAAAAGATATATTTTAGTTCTTGCATAGGTATACAGAGTCCATATAAGGATTATATCGGTTCATCTGATCGGTTGTAGGACTCTAGTAAAATAAAACATCGGAAGTGTATACCAAATATGCAAAAAGGCACAAAAAGGGTTTAAGACGCAAAATAGTGCAAATTGGGTTTAATCGCGATTATAAAAAAGATATTTAAAAACAGTGTTTTATTTACAATTGTAAAGAAGCACTAATGAAGTATTTACAACACAAAACTCATTCATATCGGTGACCATGGGTGGTATCAAGTGGAATCTAAATAAGTAAGCTATTTTTTCTAGAGCAATAAAAAAAATTTGGTAAATTTGTTGCTAATGACAATTGGCATATGGGCTGTACTTGCATATCTACTTATACATTTTGAATTACATTATATATTATATAGCAGCAGAATGATGTATCGTCTTGCTGCCAGTCCAATCAATAAGGACTTGTAGCATTGGTAATGAAATACGGTTTGTTATAGAGAAGAACGATTAACCCCCCATAGATTGAATGGGCAGGGCAAATAAGCTTCCAGTTAAATCCGTAGTGCGGGTGCTTTGTGTTCTATGTCCAAGTGCCAAATTCTGGATTAAAACTGTATATTTTTCTTAGCCAAAATGCATTAACATCAGCCGGATTTAGAACACATTTTCACTTGTTAAGACTTGTTGCAACCTTTCGAAAATCTTTAAAAAATGACGGAATGCTTGAACAGATTAAGGATAAAATCGATCGGTTAATTCGATTATCTCAAATTGCATCTGATATTCATTTTTTTTTTCATTTGACTATCATCTGATATTAATCATCTGATAATAAACTTCTTGAAATCAAGACAAGTTTTCAGAAAACTGAAACCAGTTGCATATAGATGGTTCATTTTCTAAAAAGGGAATTTAGTTATCTCTTGAATGGTGTAAAAATTGAAAAACCAAGCTTTCTTGCTTTTTTTACTTCCCAGAAATGAGCAAAAACAGGACGAAAAACATGAAATTTTGGCATAATCGTGCATCTAAGTGTCTGATACTCAGCTTTCTGGGTCAAAACTACTCGAATCTCCCACTCATGTTGCTATGACTATTATATATTATCTATCCAATGATGCCAAAACGAAATGTGGCTCAAATGGTTCTTGAGAAACTTCGAAAAAAGCTGCGTCATGTTTGAATCGGTTTTGAAACTCAAAAAACACACGCAAATCTGAAACTTCTTCAAATCAAGACTTGCCAAAAACTGCCAACATTTACTTATCGATGGTTCACTTTCTAAAAAGGCCTTTTAGTTCTATGTGAAACGATGTAACAGTGAGCGTTCTTGTTCATTTTGCTTCCGAGAAATAAGCAAGAACGGGACGGAAAACATGAAAATTTGGCATAATCTTGCAACTAAGTGTCTAATATGGACACTTTCCATTCTGAGTCAAAACCACTCAATTTTCCTCAGTTATGTTGTTATGACAGAATCGAACTGTCAATTATCTATCCAACGATGCCTAAACGAATTCTATGGCTCAAATCGTTCTTGACAAACTTCGAAAAAAGCAGCGTCATGTTCGAGTCGATTTTGCAACTCGAAAAAAAACACGCAAATCTCAAACTTCATGAAATCAAGACAATTCAGGTAAACTCTGTCGGAAAAAAATTCTTATTTGTCGATAAAAGTAGCGTGACCCTTCTTGAACCATCGCTTAGGTTCAAAATATTTATGTTAAAAGACCAAAAATAACAAAAAGATCGAGGTAATGTCTGAGCATTTAGACGCCTATTCTTAAGTGCGCCCATTCTCTATCGGTTTAATCATCAAATAGAAGCTTTATTGTTTGAAAAACTCTCAGAAGGTAGTTTAGTTAGCGTATCGCACTAAAAGGTTGCCTTATCTCCATTTTCAGCTTTGTTAACCGTTCTTAAGCAAAGAAAACTTTTGAGTAAACCCCAAAAAACGCTCTTGAGGAATCAGACCAATTGTCAATTGACCTGCAAATAGTAGTTATAATCACTTAGTTTATCGGAACAGCAATATAAAGTTCTCCAAAAACTCTACCTCAATATTATAGACAAAATTCTCTTAGACTTTGGGCGTGTATTTCTTGGTATCGATAAGGCAGAGACAGAAGCTACATAACGAAAAAAGCGGATTGTTTTTTTTTTGGACTCTCGTCGTCAATCTGAGTGGTACCAGCGCGATTATGAAGAAGTAAACGTAAAACTGACCGGTCTAAAGTGCGCCGCAGTGTCGCGTAGCTGTATTGTTAACTAAAGCTCATTTGATACGTGCACTTACACTATCTTGACTGGGTCTGACTAATGGAGCCTTTATCGCTTTAGCCTGTAGACAAAGCTTGTTTAACTTAACTCCCTAATACTGTCTTCGATGTTTAATATCTTTCATTAGGTTTTAGCCAGCATTCCTTGCATTGCTTTCATATTACGAATATCTCATTGCTAGGACAGGTTTTGGAAACCCAACTACATATTTTGCATAGTCATATCTATGTTGATTAATTTGTTTGCAGTAATTGTTAATAACAATTGCATTTTAACAAGTTTCTGATACTGGTCTCCGAACACATCGTAGAAGAAATATTAACTGGACAAAATTGTTGTATATTTCTGTGTTCAAAAATAATATACAGCCGTAATCGAGGCTCAATCCACAATTTATCATCATCTCTTTTGATAAAATCATATTTAGATTATTTGCATTTGCTCTTCACCATGAGGGGTTTTACCTACATAAAGTCTAGTTCTTCAAATTTTTTAACTTGAAAGTAATCAAATTTCCAGTTTTTTAGTTTGCCGAGATTTTGACATAAAAACACGCTAAAACTGCGATCCAAAGCGCCACAATGTT